CCCCCCCCCCCCCAAGCACTGCCAAAGAATGGCCAGGGCGGCCCACCCTTAGCCCCTTTGGGGGGCTGCCTCCTCCCCAGCTGGGAAGGCACCAGAAGACCGGAAGGGAGATCCAGAGATTCACGGCTCTGTGTGGGGAGAGATCCAGAAGAACTGGGGTGAGGAAGGGGGGAAGGAGCAGCAATCCCAGTGGTGGCCCATAAGCTCATCGTCCCATGAGTCATGTAAACCATAATCCAATAATATAGTAAAACGGAACAGTGCGCCTGAGATGGGTTTGATTCACACAATTATAAAACAAATTATTAAAGCGGGGGGGAGGAAAGCCCCCGAGTCCAGATCTGGATAAATTGGGTGCAGATGGGTGGGGGAGGGGGCTTCTGTTCCCCTCTCCAAGATGCCCTGCCACAAAGGCACGGCTTCAATTAACTAGCTTGCACACCAGAATGAGACGCCCCACTTCCCCCAAAAAAGCCCCCCCCAAAGGAGCATTCTCCATGCCTCTGTGGTCAGAAAAAAGGGGCCCCCAGTTCTCCTCTGCCCGGAGTTCACCCAGGCTGCTGTCGCCTCTTTCCAGAGAAGGAGGGAAAGGGGCCAAGGAACACAGACTGGGGGGCCGGGGAGGTGGGGCGGGGGCAGGGCTGTCCACCACTTCTAAGGAATTTGCAAGGGCACCCAGGCAATCCCCTTCTCTGGGTCACTTCCTCGGCCCTCTGTGGCGTGTGCCCACTGAGATGAAAGGGTGCTGCTGGAGGACCAGAGGCTGAGCGCAGAGCAACCTCGTGGCTGCAAGAGGCCCCGATCCAACCTCCAGCAGCCCTCCGGAGCAGGGCTGGGAACCAGGGAGCACCTCCAGAGCCAGACGGCACCTGGGTCTGGCTTGGGGAAGCTGCTTCCTCAGGAGCCTTTGAATCTCCTGGCAGGTGGGCGCCTGCCAGGCACCTGCCCACCACGATCAGAGGATCTGCTGCCACACGGGGGGGGGGGGGTACCTTTCAAACTAGATGGATCTCACCCACCGCCCAAGGCTTTTAGGTCCCCAAGAGCAATTTTACACACCAGAAGGAAAGGGCACCGAGAGAACCCCAAACTTCCAGAGCGAGGGGGGCTTCCAGAACTCTGCCCGCTCCTGGTTAGGGTCTTTCAGACGCACAAGGAGCCCTTCCCACCAAGCATGGGGACAGCACCACAGCCAAGGCCTCATTCCCCCGCAGGCACCAAGCCTGGGGAATCTTTTTGGGCTCCCGCCCCCGGCCTGCCTGTACCTTTCGGCTGAGAGTTGTGCACGGCGAACATGTTGATGGCCACGAGCTGCAGCAGTCGGGTGCTTCCGATCGGTGGGGGGCTGTGCTCCAACAGTGCCTGGAACGCGCTCAGGACCTCCGCTGCCACAGCAGGGAAGGTCTCCATCCTGAAGGGGTGCAGAAAGGCAAGCGTTAGCCCTGGAGCCAGAGGCAGGCCGAGAAAGATCTCAGGCGCTCCAGAGGCCACTAGCTTGGCCTCACCCAAAGAAAAGTGGGGGTCTCTCCCATCCCATTGCAGACAGAACCTGAGACATTCCTAGGAAGGCGGGGGGCTCCTGCTGCTCCTCTGGGCTGCCCGGGCCCCTTCTCCTTCTCCTTCTCCCAAGCCTGGTGCCTCGGGGCCCTGGGTCAGGTCAACGGAAAGGCAGCCTCAAGCCCTGTGACTACTACAGGCAGGGCTGACCCTGATGGGAGCCAGCCAGGCAGAATTTAAGCTGGAGGTCCCGCATTCACAGCCTGGGGGGTCACATGGCCCTCCCACGACAGTCTCCTCTTCCAGTGGCCAGTCCCACCCGGGCACAGCGCCACCCTTCTTACTCTGAAGCCACTGCAAGGGGCGTGGGGTGGCAGCGGTGCAACCTATGCAGCCTTGCCTGCTCAACCTCACCCCCAGACGCCTCAGGCAGTGGGGAGACCCCAAATCAGAGTGGGGTGGCAAAATCCACAAGCCTCTGCCTTGTGCAGGAGCCTGGAGTGGCAGCAGGGGCTCCAGGAGGGTCTGCTGCAGAGGCAAGGGCTTTGCCATCCCAGCTGCCCTCCGGGCAAGAGCCCCCCAACCACCCCCCCAACTGTCCCTGAAGAGGGGTGTGGGCGCTGCAGAGTCAGTGCGGGGTTCTTGCTTCTGCTTTTGCTCAGCAGGACACGGGCCCCCATTTGAAGTGAATAAACAGGGGGCGAACAGTAAAATTATAACCCTGTTTGACAAAGTAAAACTAAATAAAGCCCTGGGTCCAGATGGTATTCACCTGAGGTTTTAAGAACTGCTGATCTTCTGACAAAAATAAATGTCTTTTTAAGGTCGACATCTGTTCCAGAGGACTGGAAAATACCAATGTGACTTCAATTTTAAAAAAGGGAGTGAGGGGAGCACCGGTTATGTCAGCTTTGTTAGCTTAACATCCAACCTGAGGAGAATGCTAGAAAATACGAATCCGGCACAGAAGAGAAGAATGAGCTGCGCTGAACACGAGCCAGCGGGGCTTCGATGAAGATGCGACTCACCTCTCTCGTGCTCTGCAGACTTTGGGGAGGGTCACCAAGGGCGCATCCAGCAAACCGCACATACCTGGATGCGCAAAGGCTCCTACAAACCCTCCCAGGGATGGCTGCTGAGCAGCTGCAGAGCCACGAAGTAAGAGGACAGGCTCCTCTGGACTGGAAGCAGGAAACGCAGGGCAGGGGAAAGGGGCAGTTTGGAGAGACGACCGAAACAAAATCCATCGGTCTGAGGCCAGTTATTTGAAGCTGTGGCTGACCAGAAAGACGGCCAAGTTTGTCGATGATACCAATCAGCTGGAGGAACGGAATCAAAAAGGAATTGCAGGAAAGCTCAAAGGGATCTCGGTCCAAGATCGGGGAAACAGGTCTCAGAACAGCCAATGGTTCAGCGTAAGCAAGGGCTGAGCAAGGTAGAGGAACCCCAAGTTCACGTATACACGAATGGGATCTGGACAGGCAGTGATGGATCGGGAATCGGGTCTTGGAATCCCGGCGGATCGCTCGGCAGCAGTGTCAACTTCTTCATGAATTGCACTGGCTTTTAAAAAAGCAACTGCCCTGTCTTGAATCATGAAGAATGGGGTTGAAAATAAAGCGGCTGCTGTAACTGTGTATTTATATTTATCTCGGGGGAAACCAAGTTTAGAGCAGTGTATATTTGAACGAGGATACCGTAGTGCTGCAGAAGACGCAGAAAAGGGCAATCAGAATGATTAGGGGGCTCAAGCAGTCAAGTCTGAGGCAAAGGCACGCCGGGGAGACCTAGAAACTCACACACAATATGGAAAATGTGGGGAGAACTTTTCAGAACCAAATGGGGGAGCCACAGGGCTGGTGAAGGGAAGGGCCTATTTATGCAGCTTGCTGCTGGCAGGGGTGGTGATGGTCCCGAAAAAGAGCTTTAAAAGGGAGTGGGCCAGGGCGCTGAGGGTTGGGCTACTGACAGCTACTAGGCTGGTTCGGTCCACGGTCCTAAGCTGGAGACCCGACCTCCCCCTTGCCCCCTTTCCGCGTCTGTGAGCTTCACAGAAGCTCCTGGGGGGCCACTGTGGGATGTGGGGCACTTGACTAGTTCCTCACACAAGAGCGGGGGAAATGGGGAATCCATGGGGCCAGGGATCTCCCAGTCCAAGCCCTTTCCCTGCTGAGATGCTGGAGGGCAAGATGCAGTTCAGTGGAGAGAAAAGTCAGGCAGGAAACACCAGGTGCAGAGGCACAGGACAGGCAGCTCCCGGCAGGGATCCAGGCATCCTGGTGGACCACTGCGTAAGGATGAGTCAGCCGTGCGCTGCAGCTGCCCAAAGAGCCAGCGCGGTCCTGGCTGCATCCAGAGGGACAGGATCAAGATCAAGGGAAGGGATGGTACCACTCTGCACCGCACCGGTGAGGCCAGGTTTGGAATCCTGCGTCCAGTTCTGGTCACCACAATACAAAAAAGATGCTGAGGCCCTGAAAGAGTGCAGAGAAGAGCAACGAGGATGACGAGGGGTCTGGAGGCCAAATCCTGCACGGAACGGCTGGAGGAACCGGGCATGCGTAGCTCAACGAAGAGAAGACGGAGGGGAGACGGGATCGCCGTCTTCCCATCCTTGAGGGGCTGCTCCAGGGAGGAGGGCCTGGGCTGATTCTCCAGCGCCCCGGAGCGTAGGGCGAGGAGCAACGGGCAGAAGCTCGTTGGAGGGAGATCCAACCGGGAGATAAGGAGGAATTTCCTGACCGTGAGAGCGAGTCAGCCGTGGAACAGAGTTGTGGGTGCTCCACCGCTGGAGGCTTTCAAGAAAAGACTGGACAACCGTTTGTCCGGGATGGTCTGGGGACTCCTGCCTTGGGCGGGGGTTAGACTAGAAGACCTCCAGGGCCCCTTCCCTCCCGAGGACTCTATGATCCAGAGCAGCCCAGGCCTGGCTACGAGCAGAAGGGGACCGAAGCAGTTCCTGCCGTTCCCAGAAGTCCACGTGGAGGTGGCAAAGCAGGGTACTCGCAGTCCACCCTGTTTGGGGCCCGCCCCCGTGGAGGCAGTGCTGCTGAGAGATGGCCAGGGAGGGCTGAGAGCTTCCCTCTGAACGTCGGACTGGGGGCTGCTGAAAGCCAACTGCTGGACACGACGGGGTGTTTGCTGTGAGCCGGCAGAGCAGCTGCTGCAGCCCTGCTAGCAGCCCCCGGCCTCGCCCCCCAGGCAGAGCGCTCGGCCAGCTTGAGAAGCGCAGCCCTGCACCCCTCCGCGAGGCCGGTCATTAGCATCACACCCTATGCCCTCCATTCCAAGCACCAGCCCAGTTGCTCACAGGACTGAATTCCAAAAGGCCTCGTAATGTAGGAAAAATAAAACAAACATCCTGCAGGCTTACCCAATCCGGGTAAACAGCTTCCCATGGGCATGGAGAAAACTGAGGACGAACCTTTTGTTCAGCTGCATGGGAAAGAAAAAAGGGGGGAAATACGATGGAGAAGATGAGAAAACAATCCCGGCCCTCTCTCTCCCTCTTCCTGCGAACGAGCCCGGAGTCCCGAGTGACCGGAGAACCTGGCCAGGGACGAGGGGGTGGTACAGCAGATGGGAACCAAGCGGCCGTGCCCCGGCCTCCAGCCTTCGTCCCAGGCCCTTCGAGGGCCAGTGCCAGACAGCTGCAGGAGGAGGGTCGTGGCGCCGTGGCCCCCTCTGCTGGCCACTGGGACCTTTGCAATGGGGCCTGTGCCCCTGCTGCGAGACTGCTCAGGGCCAGAAGCTCCGGGACCGTTGCAGGCTGTGCTGGGGGCTGCTGCCGAGCCCCCAGAAGGCGAGGCCAGCCCCGGCAAGCAGGGATTGCGCCCCTTCTGCTCTGCCTCGACAGCGCCCACCTCCCCCCATCCTCTGAGCTGCAACCTCCAGAATGCCAACCGCCAGGCTGCCAGGAGGGAGCGGGGTGTCCCCAGGATAAACCCCACTGCGCTCCCAGTTTGTGCTCCAGCCCTCAGCTGACCTGGGCCTCCCCCATCCTCTTCCTGAACAACCTGGTTGTGCTTCCAGGGAGGGGAGGCTGGATCAGCAGCAGGATCAAGGCAGCATCATGCCAAAGGAGAGGCGGGCTGGTTCTACTGCCGGCCCCAGAAACCAGCTTCGCTTCCAGGGACCGGCTAAGTCACCCAAGCCCCATTTTCCAAATGTTTTGGTGGGCAGAGAAGCCCCCGCAGAGCGGGGCGCTGAGCCTGAGGCTCCCAAGTGCAGGCCCCTGCCTGATTCCCCCACCTCCCCTGCAGACCCTCTGCAAACTAGGACCATTTCTAGGCTACCTTTGGCCTAGCCTACACCGCAGGAGCGTTGGGAGGGGGCCACGCCTGCCGTTTGGAACAGAACCCAGAGAGAAAAGCATGCGCTCCTCTCCCCCCGCGGTGCTGCCGCCGGGCCGCAACCTGCCGAGCCGCACCGCCTGAGAGCGCCTGCCGGCGGCCGCTCTCCAGATGACTCAGCTCCTGCGTGACTCACCTGCCAGGCAGGCCTCTGGGAACCTCCGACGCTCCCTGGCCCACAAGAGGAAGCGGCACCAGCCCACGGGCACTTCCTCAAAGTTGTGGCTGCGGCAGCTCCGCTCTCTCACAAGCCCTGCAGACGGGAGAGCTGCCCGTCCCTGCACAGGGGGCTTTTCCCACCTCACCGCTCTTGCCCTCGCGATGACCCTGGGAGGCAGGCTGCCGCAGCCTCCGTTCAAAGCCCTGGGGGAAAGGCAGAGGCTGACGGGGACCTGCCGGGAGGGCCCTGGGGATCCGAGGTAGGCTTCTGAGCATAGCCTGGAGTCCCCTCCGGACAGGCCAAAGAGCAGCTGGCGGCGGAAGGAAAGGACAGGGACCGAAACAGCTGCAAATTATGTCGGCCCAGCCCCAGAGAGCCAAAGGGAACCAGAGGGGCAGGCCAGGCGCCCCAAAAGCAGATATCCATCTGAGAAGGCAGGGGGTCCGGAAGAAGCCACCCAGCCACAGAGAGCAGAAGCTAAGGAGCAGGGGGACGCGGGAAGCTGCATCCTGCACCCGCTCCCCATCCCGGCACGTTCACAGGTGTGAATTTCAGCTCCCAAGATTCCCCAGCTCACATGGATCCGGCAGAGAATTCTGGGACTCGGCCCACGTGCCCAGAGGCAGCCCAGGGCAGGGAAGGCTGGTCTGTCACCCCCACGATGCTGCAGCGACACCGGGGGTGGCCAGAAAGGAGAAGGGCCGGGCAGGGGTACCTGAGCGCGGAGCCCCAGGCGGGAGCCGAGTTCCAGGGGAGGGAAGGACTCCCAGGCGGCTGCTCCAGGGGCAGGGGGCGGCCATTTCACGTGGAAAAGGTTTACTGGGGTCCGGAAGCACCCTCTCCCCCCAGCAGCTGTCATGTCCCTGCAGAGCAGAAAGCAGCGGTGGCGTTCGAAAGGGGCCACGAAAGGCGACCTCCGCAAGCAGAAGAGAGGCAGGGGGCTCCACGGGTCTGTTGGCACCTGGTGCCCCTCCGCACGAGACCCAGAGCTCGCCTGGCTGACAGCCACCCGAGGGCACCATTCTCGCAGCCCGCGAGGCCGCGCTGGGGCCCAAGGGAGCTGGGACTGTTTGCCTGACCCAGACGCAACAGTGAATCGCTTGGAAAGGAAGCTCAACAAATAACTGAAGCTCCCGAGCGCTTCCACAATATGTCAGGAGACAGAAGTCAGCTTCTCAGAAGGAGGCAGGGAAAAGCTGCCAGTCCTCATGGAAGCCTAGGCAGGTGTGATCTGGGGCTCCAAGTGCGCGGGGGGAGGGGGAGGCTTCTGGGGGCCGCAGGCGCAATCGCACGGCTGCCCTGTGAGGGGCGCAGGAACGGAGCCCCCTTTCCAGCAGGTCTAAACCCAGAAAAGGGACGGGCTCTGAACACGGCTGGCCCAGGGCAAAGG